CCAGTGGTGTAGTCTACGTGATACGCAGGTATACGCCGTATACCCACTAGAAAAATGTCAAGGATTTGCGTATGCCCACTAGGAAATGTCAAAGATCTCCGTATGCCCACTTTAAAAAGCGTGAGGATTCGTAACGACATCGTTTTGTGAATTAAATTTCCTACAACATCAGCCCCCCTAAACGTTGGCGACAGAATTCCGTGCTCCTTTAAGTTCTGTTATCAGATTCAGCGCGCGAGCAGAGAGCACGTCAAAAACAGAGGACAGGGTGTGTGTGTGTGTGTGTGTGTTCGTGTTCATCTGAGCCTCATTGGTCTGTCACCGCTCGTCAATGTCAGAATATTTGAGATGACAAATCAAATCAAAGTAGGCGGGCTTTATGTTCACAGACGCTGAGCGCGAATTTCAGCAGAGTAACTCGACCCTTCAGTTTACGGGCAAGTGCGAGATAAGATGTAAGTGGCTAAACTTCATATTTTAAATTTTTTAGGTCATAAATGTTAAACGAATGACAAAAAAATAACCAGGCAAACTAATATAGTTTTGTCTAATTTAGCCATTTTGAACTGAAATAAATAGGCCTGTAACGTGACTCATGCAATTTATTAGTTTACTCTCATTGCGAGGGGACAAGAAACATTAACAAAGCCGTTTTTATCATTTTAGCCACAAGAGTAATAATGAATGTGTGCATATTGAGAATATAATAAAAATTGTAGCCTTTAGTGCATTAAAAAAGCTCAGCCTTCGGAGGGGAAGAGAATGTGCCCACTGACATGGTTTTAAAGCTATTTCTTATCCTTTTTTTGGTCTTCAAACGTCTTGAAATGCACATCAGAGAAATTTAAAAAATTTGAAGCACCAACCTCAAATTTAGGCCCTCATTGATTATAAAGCCCTGTATACGGCCCTGTAGTCATAAGATCAATAATGAATGTGTAGCCTATATGTTTTGAATGCATTTCAGAAAAAAACTTAATTACCTAGCTTTAGTAGCTTTCAGTGAATAAACGTGTCCGAGAAAAATTATTCATAGGGAAAATCCACCTATCAGTTGACGGTGACCCCATGAATGAAAAGCCTATATCAGACACAGCTCATCTTTAGCAGTGTTGTATAAAGTAGAAGTAGAAAGTAGAAATTCTGCCATGTCTTACTTTCAGCCATGAACAGATTGACAGTTGATTAGGGCTGATTTCTGTCTCCTGACTGAAAAACTGCTAATAAGCAAATCCAGGTGATTGGAACAAAATACTGAGGCGGACTTTTACTTTCTGAACCTGGACTTTACTCTTCTGAAGAGAACAGAAAAAGAGACGACACAGATGAAATCACCTGAAAAGAAGACATTAAATCTGAAGATCTCAGCAGAGGAGGATTAACAACTCCACAAACAGCATTACCAGCTTCACTTATTACTAACCAGACTGACTTTATTTCTGTCAGACTTCTACAGAAGATTTTATTGTGAATTAACAGAGGTTTAACTCAGTTTCATTTGAAGTCACCATAACAGTGATTAGTGTTTCCATTAGCCAGGCTCTTTACTCTTATAATATATTTGATCTCTTCTGACTGCTGTGACAGTGTGTTTGTCAAACACATTTACAGTAACAAAAGTTCAATGGAATCAGGTGATGAAGATTACCTGGTGATGGTTTTATAATCATCATGAAAAAGCCTGATTCACTGTGGTATTTGAATATAATAATTATTTTGACAAATTATTTTCAAAAAACAAAACCTGTGACTAGGGCTGGGCGATGTATAGCACAATATTGTTATGCGCGTCTAATCAGTGAAGCCGGTTCCATGATTAGTAGTAAATCACCTTCACCTGCTTTCAGATGGATGATACGCGTGTTAATTAACACTCAAGAGTGTTAAAGTTAATGAGATAGTTAAGTGATTAATTTAGTGATGATTGAGCATTATTGAAGACACCTGATGATCACAAGCAGAATCACTGAAGGAGAAAATCACAAATTGTAAGTCACCGTTATGGAGATCAGTGTTTGCTTTAGTTGGGCTCTTGACACTTTTACTTTCTCTTTAAACTTTGTTTGACTGCTGTTATTAATTTATAACAGTCAAATGAACAAAGACAACTGTGATATGACAGTATAGGTTGATTTGGCATAATCATGCTGTTATCTGTAAAATGAAACTTTTCATATAATTTGGTTTAACTTGATAGTAACATTTCAGTGGTTATAAAGCATATGATTATCAATATTTTTCTGATACTCCAAAATATTTAATATAAATTATTCTGATCAAATCACTTTCAAATGCATTTATTTAGAAACACAGACATCAATAATCAGCCTATGAATCTCAACCGTGGTGACCACATAATCCTTGTTGCCACCAATCACAACTCATTAATGGCTCCCATCATGCATTGCGGTATGAATAAATTATGATCTGAATTGTCTATGTAAATTACTTTTCCTAATTGAATATTCTCCTCGTCACCGTTGTTGAGAAGCATTGACTGAATCTTGAGGTCTGTGCGTGCCTTTACTAAAGATTTTTTTTTTTTTTTTTACAACTTTTAAGAAATCCTTTACATTATAAATTCTGGATATTTATGCAGAATCTCAGTTATGCTGTAACCAACAAAATAAATCACAAATAATAAATTCAAATGACGATTGTCACATTATAACCAAAACTATTAGTTTGTATGTTTTTTTCTTTGTTCATCTGACTGTTTTAACTCAGAAACAACAGCCAAACAAAACCTAAAGTTAATGTAAGGCTCAAGAGCCCAACTAAAGACTGATCTCTGATCTCTACACTGATCTCTATAATGGTAACCAATTACGATTTTCTCCTTCAGAGATTCTGATGGTATGGTGACTTCAAATGAAACACAGAGTAAACCTCTGTTAATTCTCAATAAAATCTTCTGTAGAAGTCTGACAGAAATAAAGTCAGTCTGGTTAGTAATAAGTGAAGCTGGTAATGCTATTTGTGGAGTTGTTTAATCCTCCTCTGCTGAGATCTTCAGTTTAATGTCTTCTCTTCAGGTGATTTCATTTAACCCATTTACTCCTAAAACGTCAGCTAAAAACGCCTATGAAAACCTATGTTGTTCTAGGACAGTAATTCTCAAAGTGTGGTCCGCGGACCACTAGTGGTCCGCCATCGCCCCCTAGTGGTCCGCGAAAAGATGACCTAAACTAGGCAAGTGTTTACAAAATCGTCACTTTTTCGCACGTACCAGTGTGATCAGTCTTCTTGGCTGATCCCTGGAATGTGTACGGTCACACCGGTGTGATTAGAATGTTCAGTGCTTCACGTCAGCAACTGCTAAATTCAAACTTGCCCTCGCGCGCTGGCTGGCGCTAAGCCAGAGACGGACGCACTCAGAGCTGTCATATAACACAACTATTGAGTGTTTTCAATGTTTATTTTAGGTTTCAGACATTTAAATACACATAAGTACTAGCAAAACAATGATTTTGAGTTTGTAAAATACACACTGATGTCTATGGAAGCGGCAATAATCCTTTCAGTTATAATAAGACAACAACACGTTTTATATCAGATACACATTGTGTAAGTACCTTTACATTTGACCCTATTCTTCTCCCAGTTCACCAGCCACTTACTATCATGTATTTCGTGAGAAGTGGAGGAATTGACGTTGTAAATCCAACAGATCTGATTCTCTGAACTGAAAAAGAAACTAAAAGCTCAACTAACGCGATCGTTATAAAGATGTTTAAACCATGTCAAACCCATCCACTTGCACATATTTGACAATCGGAATATCAGTGTTTCATGTTATAGCTAATACATTTATGAATATTTTTAACAAAAAAGACAAAAGCAGATCATCCTTCATTCAGCGCCGTGTTTTGGTTGTGCTGTGTCACGTGACAAGCAAAGACGCGTCACCATGGAAACATTAAAGTGGCAAGTTCTAAATAACGGTGCCTTGAAAAAACTCACGCTGGGGGTCAGTTAGAATATTTTAAACTTACGTGTGAAAGGGTTAATAAACTTAATTACCAAGCTTTAGCTTTCAGTAAATAGAAAAATTATTCATAGGCAAAATCAACCTATATCAGTTGACCCTATGTTTACTTTCTTCACTGACAGAAAAATGAAAAGCCTATATCAGTCAAAGCTCAGTTAGGAGTTAAATTTAAACTTAAATTTAGCTTATCCTTACAACTTTTTTTTTTTTTTTTTTTTTTTGTGTGTGTGGGGGTGGGGGGGGGCGTGTTAGAGTGGGATTTTGTTAGGTGGTCCTCAGAAAAAAAATGGAAGATAAAGTGGTCCTTGGGCTGAAAAAGTTTGAGAAACACTGTTCTAGGATAAATGTCCTTATCTCCTGAGGGTTTTCTGAAAAAATACTAAGAATTGTCAACGTCTACTAAAACCTTAATATCTAAGCCTCTGTAGCACTTAGAAACATGAAATAAAATACATTTTAAAGGTAAGAATCACAGCTTTTATTTAAACATGCTTCATTGGAACTCGCATAACAAAACATTTTTCTAAAAATTCTCAAAAAATAAATTTAATAAAAAATATAAATCAATTATATAAAATATCACAAATAATATTTTAAAACATGGCAACACTGAACAATTCATTTTATGAGAGACCAATCGACAAGACCCACCTCATGTATATTTGAACCAATGACTGTGCGTTTTATGCTGCATGTGTCATGAAAAGTTTGACAAATACAAAATGCTGCGTCACGCAGCAGCCGGCGGGAGTTTCAGAGTTGCACAACGCAGTAACCGGCGCTAGATGTAATGTTGCGGCGCGCAGCTTCCGTCACAAATGGGTTAAGACTGTGTCATCTCCTTTTCTATTCTCTTCAGAAGAGTAAAGTCCAGGTTTAGAAAGTAAAAGTCCGCCTCAGTATTTTGTTCCAATCACCTGGATTTGCTTATTAGCAGTTTTTCAGCCAGGAGACAGAAATCAGCCCTAATCAACTGTCAATCAGTTCATGGCTGGAATAAACACATGGCAGGACTTCTACTTTTTTTCTACTTCTACTTCTACTTTATACAACACTGGCCAGAAGAGTCTGTACTTTTTGTTCCATAACCCGAGCCTGTTCTGGAACCACTGTAGACGGCACCACCCCTGCAAACTTGGGGGTCTTTTATTATATTCAGGACCCACATATATTTGGAAGAATTTGCCAATTTTCCAGAAATTCTACTAAGGGAACCAGCCTCTCGAGACTGGTCTCGGGTATTTCTTGGACACTTTTCTTCCCACTGAGCAAAATGATGTCCAAAAGACGTCTTTTCAACGTCTTTGTCACAAAAGTCGGACAAGTTGAAAAGAATACGTGTTCTGGATGTCTGAAAAAGATGTTAATGGATCCTTCGTACAAGGTTAAAAACTAGTTCAAATGTGGCCATTTTCAACATTATTTATGGTCTCATTTAGACAATTTATACTGTTTCTTGACCAAATAAACACTCTCAGGATGCATTAAATTAAAACTCAAGTTTATTTCAATGTAATTTCCTTACATTGTTTAGATGGTGATATTTATTTTATTTTGAGTCACCATTGTGGTGATCAGTGTTTGCTTTAGTTGGGCTCTTGGTCCCAATAATTTGTATTCTAGCTTTTCTTTGACTGTTGTAACTGTGTGTTTGAATAACACCATTGTTATGACAGAGAAAGCCAAGAAAATTGACTCTCATCAGCTCCTTGTTGTTGTTGTTGTTGTTGTTGATGGTGATGATGAAATCAACATAAAGTGGGCATTTAACATTTTGTTAAGACTTTTGTGTTTGTATCTGGAGTTTATAACCACCAATGTTGTGGAACTGCATTAGTAGCATGGAAGTTGGACAAAAAGCAAATTTACACAATGTTTTGAGAAAATCTACCATAAAGTCACACACAGACATCAAGATTTTGCATATGATTCACAAAAATGGTGAAAATAAATAAAAAAATGCTTCATGCTGCAATGCATGATGGGTAGCTTTCATAGTACAAAACATCCTCGATTCCCAGGCTTTTTTGTTTTGGTTGTCACCGTCGTTGAGAATCATATGCAAAATCTTGATATCTTGTGTGTGACTATCTGATTCACTTTCTTAAAACATATTATACACAGTGGTCATTATAAAGTTACTGGTCCAAATAATGCAGCTCTAAAAGGTGAATAATTATTTCAGATATAAAAACAGAAGTTTAGATGTTGTTTAATGCGTGCATTGCGCTGGCCACTGGGCCCAGCCCTCCTAAAAGATTTAGTGTGGCGACTCGGCAAGGGAGATACAGCTGGAACAGGCCAGAAAGCGAAAGCGGCGCGTCCATAAGGAAAGATCTCTCCTTATCTTTAATTCCAGAAAGATTAAGCCACAGATGGCTCTCCGTAGCCACCATAGCTGCCATAGAACGGCCGATGGAGCTTGCTGTTTCTTTAGTGGCCTGGAGAGACAGATCTGTGGCTTTTCTCAATTTCGCAATTTTTCTCAATTATATCTGCAGGAGTTGGTCCCTCTCCCTCATCAAAATCCTTAAGGAGGTCGGCCTGGTACGCCTGCAAGATTGCTAATGAATGCAGAGACACACAAGCTCGACCAGCCCCCATATATGCCCTGCAAACCAATGCCGATGTTTCTCTGCATGGTTTACTGGGCAGCGCCGGGGTTTTAAGTGAAGATGCCGCTTCAGGAGAAAGATAACTCGCCAATGCTTCCTCCATCACCGGCATCTTGCCATACCCATACCCATTCTCTCACACCCACAACATTGCTATAGTCGCATGATGTACTTTTGCGATCCCCACAATCTAAGCCTCCGAGCCGCCTCAACAGACGCGGGACCTGAACCGCGGGGATCGCAAGCTTGGCCGTCATCTTTAAAAATAGCCAAGCAGGAGCGCAGCACTCTCAGTGGTAGTGCTTCACAGTGTTTACAGGCAGCTCCCTCGAGATCTGCTTGTGCGTGCTGCACTCCCAAACAATTCACACAGAGTTGATGTGTGTCCCCACCCGTGATGTACACATCTAGTGGGTGCACACATCTAGTGAATTGCTCACTCGCCATAATACTTTCTTAATAAATCAGACAAACAACACCAAATAGACAAGAGACAGTTTCATTACAGAGCGCTTGCTGAAGAGCGAAAGCTGGTATGTGTTGTGCCAGTGTCACTTTAATGCTTCTGGTTATGCCATCACGTTACCTCATGATGCAACACCAATCAAGATTGGATTAGTTTCATTCATACTTCAGAGGCGCATGAAAGGGAGCATCCCCAATGTGTCGATTCTCGATGCAGTGTTGAGTTCCCTCGAAAGGGAACATCACTGGTACATTCACACTACAGGACACACAGGGGAAAGTGTCTGCAAGCCATAGTTTTTATAAGACACCTTTTCATACACATTTTTAAAAACAGAGAATCAGCGAATGTGAAAATAAAACCTGAGTATGTTGAGTTGACAACAAGATATTTCACTTAACTGTATTTTATCTTTTAATTGTTGTGAAATTGTGCAATTACTCACAGGGCTTTTCTACAGTGTCTCACAGCTGGAATGAGTCTCTGGTAGCCTGCTGGTGATGAAGTGAACCTCTTTGGGTCGAACTCGTCCAGCACCTTCTCTGAAATCAGCAGTGTGTAGACCAGCACTGAGCACATTGAAGAGGAGAGTTTTCTTCCTGGATCTTCATCTGGACCGAGGTATCTCTGGATTTCCTCATATAATGAATTATCTTTCAGCTCAAGTAAGCAGTGAAATAGGTTGACTGAAGCTTCATCTGAGATGACCCGGTCTAGACTTTGTTTAATGTATCCAGTTGTTTGTCTGATGCTCTCTGTGGTGTCTTCAGTGTCTGTCTCGTCTTCAGTGTCTGTGATCAGGCCTTTGAGCAGTTTCTGACTGGATTCCAGTGAAATGCCCATCAGAAACCGCAAGAAGAGGTCCAGATGTCCTCTCTTACTCTCCATGGCTTTATCAACAGCCTTTTGCAGTAGCTCATGTAATGTGATATCCTCATTGGGCTCATCAAAGAAGAACTGAAGCTCCTGCATGTTCTTGTTCAGGTAACAGAGGAACACATGCACTGCAGCAAGAAACTCTTGGACACTCAGATGTGTAAAGCAGAAGATCTTTGACTCACGAAATCCGTCTTCCTTCTTAAAGATCTCTGCGATCATTCCTGTAAACTCTCTGTGATCACTCATATCAATACCACATGATTTCAGATCTTTTTCATAGAACACAACGTTTTCCTTCTTCAGCTGTTCAAACGCTAGCTTGGCCAACTTTAATATCATTTCCCTATTTGACTGTAAGAGCTTTGAAAAATCTCTTTCTTCTTGTTCATTGTACTTCTGGTTCTTCATGTTCATTTGTATCAGCAGGAAGTGAATGTACATTTCAGTGAGTGTTGTGCTGATGTTCTCTGTATTGTTCTTGATGAGAATATCCTGAAGGACTGTGGCCGTGATCCAGCAGAAGACGGGAATGTGGCACATGATGTAGAGAGTACGAGACGTCTTAATGTGTGAGATGATTCTGGAGGACACAGTCTCATCTGGGAATCTCTTTCTGAAGTATTCCTCCTTCTGCGGGTCAGTGAATCCTCTCACCTCTGTGAACAAACCCACATGCTCAGGAGGGATCTGATTGGCTGCTGCTGGTCGTGAGGTCACCCAGACGAGAGCTGATGGAAGCAGAGTCCCTTTAACTAGACTTGTAAACAGCACGTCTACAGATGACTCTTTCTCAACTGTGTTTAATGATCTATTATTTTTAAAATCCAAAGGCAACCGACTCTCGTCAAGTCCATCAAATATAAATGCTAGCTTACATCCCTTATATAACTTTGATTCCTCCAGGTTCTCCAGTTCAGAATAAAATTCCAGCAGAAGCTTATGGAGACTAAACTCTTCATCTTTCATCAAATTAATCTCTCTGAATGGGAGCAGGAACACACAGTCTATATTCTGATTGGCTTTTCCTTCAGCCCAGTCCAGGATGAACTTCTGCACAGAGACAGTTTTTCCAATGCCAGCGATGCCCTTTGTCAGCACAATCTTTTTCTCATCAGTTTTCTTCAATTCAGTAAAAATATCATTGCATTTGATTGGTTTGTCATGTGTTTGTTTGTTCTTGAAAGCATCATCAATCTTCAGAACCTCATGTTCCTGATTGACCTTTTCCATATCTCCCTCTGTGATGAACAGTTCTGTGTAAACCGCTTTGAGATCTGCTGTATTTTCCTTTTTGCCTTCAAAAATACATTTAGCTTTCTTCTCCATGTTGGTTTTGTGTTTTTGAAAAAACTTTTGCAAATCCTCTGTAAGCAAATAAAATTTTAATTACAGGAAAAAGAGTTTTAATTTAGGCCACACTTTTTATTATGCGCCTTTACTATGTGCTAACATTTAATACAACACTATGGATGTACTGTGACTACACTTTGGTTTGGCTGATTCCCACATTTACTGCTAATGAGCTGAGTTAAGGGTTTGCTGAAGGGTTAGGATTATAGAGTTAGCTTTTGGGTCAAGGGTTAGGTTACAGTTAGGGCTAAAGTTAACTATAACTACAAATGTGAATTAAACGCATGTACTTTGAATGTAATTATACTACGGATGCTGTTGAATGCTTGATTCTGATTGGTGTGCAATTATTTTCCAAGAAATGCACAGTTAAAGACAGTATTTCCAGGCAGGTCTACACACACACACACACACACACACACACACACACACACTCTCTCTCTCTCTCTCTCTCTGTGTGTCGGAGTGCATGCTGGGAGTTTGTGAGTGTGAGTGGTGATTTTTTTTTTTTGGTGTGTGTGGAACATGGCGGTTCCAGGTGCACAGGGGTTGAGTTCACTCACGCGTCGTCATGGGGTAAAAGTGGCGTCTACCGTGAGTGTGGAGAGTTGTTGTTTGGTTGTGGGGGAAATTGTGGGGTATGAAAACATAATGTCTGCCTCAAGAATGAATAGCGTTATTGTTATTTTTTTCAATACAGTAGGAAAGGCAAATGAGGTAGTTCAGAGGGGAATTATTCTCGACGGTGTTCTTACTCCCGTCTTGCCCCTTTCATTGCCGTCTAAAAGAGTCACCCTTTCGAATGTCCCGCCGTTTGTTAGTGATGTTGTTTTGACGCAGGCTCTATCTCGTTATGGAAAATTAGCCTCCTTGATTAAAAAGATTCCAATTGGCCGTATTTCTCCTTTACTGAAGCATGTTGTGTCTTTTAGATGCTCAGTTTACATGGTTGTAAACAACGATGCAGATTTGGATCTTGCGTTGAATTTTCGAGTGGAGGAATTTGATTATGTGGTTTACGTCACCACTGATAAAATCCAATGCTTCGGCTGTGGTAAAGTCGGTCATTTGGTTCGACTTTGTCCTAGCAAACAAGAAGACGACAATCGTTTGGCTGACACTGAAGATGTAGCTAACGTCACTGTGCAGCCAACCGGTGAGCCGGTGAAGCCGCTGAGGCGGAATCAGCAGTGGTGCGGGCGAGTGATCCTGATGGAGCTCAACGCGCTGGGACTTCGAAGGATGATGTTGTTTCAGTGGAGGAGGAAACTGAAATTGAAAAAGTTGTTGTAAACGAGGAAGACAGAGGTAAGTCAAGCGATAAAACAGAATCAGACATTAGCTACATTTACATGGACACAATCGGACTGAAATCAATACGATTGATAAATCCGATCAAGGTGTTTACATGAATGATAAATAATGGTTGATGTGAGCGTTTATATGTCACAAGATTCAAATCGGAATTGATTCTTTGACATGCGCACACTGCACGAATATGCCACTGTTCACGCATAAGCAACTATTCTCCCCTATTGGTTCTGTATTTGTTTTAAACAACAGACTTAATTTGTATCCATCTCTGGTCATGATTTGGAGACGATGAGCATGAACCGTTTTGCCGTGCTGATTGTATTTATCACGCAGTAAAACTCCGCGCCCAAAAGTCGTGTGGATGAGAATGTAAAACAAGCACTGGTGGGACGTTGTCCTGCTTCACTTCACAGACATGGAGTGAAATGAGAATTTTTTAATGACGGAACATTCATTTATATGACACTTTATTCAACAGGAAGAACAGCTCGTTCCGTGCATCATACGTCATTACGCTATTTCAAAGTCATTGCACATGCGCAGTCCTTTTAGTTTCGGTTTTCAATACGATCAAGTGTTTACATGTTCTCTTGCTCGGATTACAAAAGGAGTAAACCACCCCTTTAAATCCGATCGAAATTCTAGTCAGATCGAGCTCAATCGGATCGATTAAGGTGTTTACATTAGGGTTTTTTAGTCCGATTGAGCAGTCAATCCAATTACAAGGGTCCATGTAAACGCAGCTACTGTTATACGGGATGTTCGTGAGGTTGATGGTAGGCCTAATGAATCTGTTTCAGAACAAACAGTATTTAAAGTGCCATTAAAAAGGAAGAAGTCAGATACAGCTCATAGACAACAAAAGAAATTAGATCTAGAAGATGCTGCTGGTCAGGTTGTGACGAACATGATGTTCTCAGTCACATGATGTTCTAAGTCACATGATTCACTGAGTCACATGATGTGTGGAGCACATGGCTTAAAAGAGTTGGAAGATGGCAGTTTGAGAAGACCTTGTGCAGTGGAAAGGTGTGGGAAGTTAAGCCCTACAAAAACCCTGTGAGGTAAAAGGAACATTTTGGTGATTTGCCTTGGGATTTATGGTTCTTTTGGATGTTCCTGGATGTTCAAAGATACTACCAATGGTTCAAACAACAATGGAGGACTGATCATTTCGCTAACTGACTGACTGACTGGACAAACCAACCAAGTATTGTTTTTTCTTTTCTCTTTTCTCATATTCTTATGTTGGATTTGCCAGTTGAGACTTTTTGGCATGAGACTTTGTGACTGTGGTTTAAAGTGCTGAGAACCCTTTTTCAACTGCACAGTGGACTGGTTGTTCAGTGCTGGCCTGAATGGACTCTGAAAGGTCTAAGTGCATGTACAAAAAAACTATGCTGAATTGAGAACTTGGTCAAGAGCTGTTAATGTGAACTGTGTAACCCTTAATGAGTTGAAAGGAAAATAATCTGACCTTGAATGAGCTGATCTGATTTTGTTTAAATACTTGTTATGGTAAATGAACTAAATGAATCTCAGAATTGGGAATTGAGTATTTGAGTTGTTGGGATATTTTTCTTATAAATTGAAGAACTTTTGGTTTCTGATTTTGGTTTTGTTTTTTGTTTTTTCCATTTGTGAAACATTATTGTTTTTTCCTCACTGAATGTTATCTTGCGCAACAAAAACTAATAACAGTTTATATGAATTGAGCCTATTGCTGTTTGTTGTTAATTCTTCATCCACAAATTAAGGGTTCTACTTTATTTGTTTTTTAAATGTCTGAATCCTTTGTAAGGTTGACTGACTAAACAAAATATAGTAGGTTTGAAAAACCTGCTTGGCACCCCAGTCAATTAGGTCAATCCGTTACAAGGTTGATTCAGAGAGTGAGAGTGAATTATCTGACTCAAGTGTTACTTTGTCACAAAGTGAGTTTTCCTGCCGCAATTATGATGTAGATGACATTACACTGTTTCTTAAATCTACGAAGAATAAGAGGGGGGTGGTTGTCAATGAGTATTTTCCAGATGTAGCACAGTTTGTAGAAAAAGCAAAGAATTTTATGACTGAAAGCTGTTTTACAAACAGAGAGGTGTACCATTTAAAGAAAATATTGCGAAACCTCAGCATGAACGATGGCAGTATAAAAACTTGAATCTACAGTAGAGATCAAAATTAGAGAACAACATACAATTTCCTAAATTTCAAGGTCACTGCTTAGTCCTAGTTAGAGTTAACCTAAAAGGAACAGAAGGGACATTAGTTTTAGCATATTTAATAAATTAAATCTATTTAACTACAATATATAAAACTTAAATGAGAAAATTTAAAAAAATAACTCTGGTCAAAATTAGAGAACTCTTTCAGATACCTCCAAGTTATTGGTGATTAATGTGGCTCCTGGTGCTAATTTCCTTAATTATCTGCTATACCCTATTTAACTGGCAAACTTTCCAATTTTAACTGACTTTGCAAGATGGCAAGCCGATCTAAGGTGACTGAATGGTTGTACAGATGAAGGCCAAAGGGATGACCCTTTCAGCTATTGCAACAGAAATTGGTCGTTCCAAATCTGTGATTTCTCGAATATTGAAGCTATACAAAGATACTCATTCATTCAAGTCCCCCAAAAAGGCTGGTCGTCCACGTCAGACGAGTGCACGAGAGGATAGGACGATGCGGAGACTTTCAATCGGCAATCGGTTCAACACTGCAGCTGGAATTGCTCGCCAGTTCAGAGCTGAACACAGTAAGGATCTGTCTCGATATACAGTGTCTCGTCGTTTAAGAGAATTTGGACTGAAAGCTCACTCTGCAGTGACCAAGCCTCTCATCAGCAGAAAGAATCAAAAGGCTAGACTAAACTTTGCATGTCATGTGGACCGAGGAGAACTGGTCAAAAGTTCACTTTAACGATGAAAGTAAGTTTAATTTATTTGGGTCCAATGGGAAACATTATGTTCGGTGTCAAATTGGGGAAAGATTGAACCCAAAGTGCGTAAAGAAGTCAGTCGTGGAGGAGGAAGTGTCATGGTTTGGGGGATGTTTTCTGCCACAGGAGTTGGGCCTATTATACAGCTACATGGCAGGGTGAATGCAAATGTTTATCAGAACCTCCTTCAGCAACATGCGGTTCCTTTCCTGCAAGCATCTCCCAATCAGCCTGCAATTTTCATGCAAGACAATGCCCCGTGTCACACTGCAAAACGGGTAAAGCAGTTCCTTGAAGCTCAGAAAATTGAAATAATGAAATGGCCAGCCCAGAGTCCTGATCTAAACCCGATTGAAAATCTTTGGAAAATCCTTGGCGATAAAGTTATGGCTAAGAAACCCACTACAGTTACTGAACTGTGGAAAAAACTGGAAGAAGAATGGACCAAGATCACACCAGAGCTGTGTGAGAATCTAGTGATGTCTTGTGGCCGCAGATGTGCTCAGGTCATTCAAAGCAAGGGCCTCAACACTTCCTATTAGATTTTGACTGCTGTAAGCCTCAAATTTGAGTTGTAATGCTTTCTTTTGCAATGGTTATGGTTCTCTAATTTTGATCGCTGTGTTTTCCACAAAATAAAGGTTTTTGTTGAAGTACCTTGCTTGTTTTGTGAAAAAAAAGCAATTAGAACAAGGGTACCCATAGTGAATATTCCTTCAAATTTCAAGCAATGAAGTAACAACATCTCTGAAATTAACTCTGAAGTGTTTTTTAATTGTTCTCTAATTTTGATCTCTACTGTATGACAATGAATCATAGTTTGATCTTATTCTTATTTTTAAGCATGATTGAAGTGTGTATTGCATCATTGAATGTGAATGGTGCAAGAAATTGCAAAAAAAGAGCTGAATTGTTT